GAGAGAGAGAGAGTGTGTGTGTGCGCGCGCGTGTGTGTGCGCGCGCGCGCGCGCGTGTGTGTGTGTGTGTGTGTCTCTCTCTCTCTCTCAAAATCAACTTAGGTAAAATGAAATTATCTTCTTCCCTCCCTTCTCTGTCACCCACTTGCCAAATCAAACACGTGTGCACACATGCACACACACAACCAGCTTTGCATCTTCTGTTTGCTATCCTAGTTGCTGGCTGCATCCTCCCCATATTCATCCAAGTTGGAATCTGAGGAACTCTACTTTCATTCTCCTTTTGTCAGTCTCCACCCCTAATACAAGCAATTCCAGTGATAACAATTTTGCTACTAAAGGTTTTTCAGTCATTAGTAACAATAAAGAAATATCCTTATTACTGACTGACTGCAGTCATGTTTCACTCTCTTGTTTCATCAGCCTATCTGATTTTTCTTCTTAGCTTTCCAAATTCCCTCTTGCATACACCATGAGAGTCTGTCATCCTGCTTAAAACCTCTCCTCTTTATCCTGTAAGTGAAGGCTCTCCATCACTTACAGGATAAAGTTCTTGTTCCCCTGATCAGACGCCTGCTGATGCCTCTGGTCTTCTTTCACACCCTCCTTGCCTTGCACTGCACACGTCAGCCACACGCAGCCATGTGTTCCTCCTGCACAGTCCACAGTTCCTCAGCTCTGTGCTTAGCCATGTCTGCGGTCTACCCCCAAATCCTTGAAGAGTCAGCATCTACCTCACTTTCTCTTAGAAAATCTCTGTGATTAGTAATCACTCTCACATTCCTCTGTCACGCTAGAGCACTGAACGCTTTGCAGTATAATTATCCACTTATCTCTCTCTCTTCCACCAGGGTACAAATTCCCTGAGAGGAGGGATCATGCCACATCTACTCTTTATCCCCAGTTTTTAATACCCAGTAGACACTCAAGTACTTCATTAAATTCATACTAACCTGTAAGAGTAATGATTTAAATTTTAAAAACACATAGTTCAGATGTCATCTAGGCCGAGCTCTGCGTTGTCCAATACCGTAGCCACTCACCACATGTGGCTATTTAAATTGTATTAAAGTTAAATAAATGAAGAACTCAATTTCTCAGTCACAGTTCTCAAGTGCTCAGTAGCCACCTGTGGCTAGTGGCTTCCACATGGGACATTGCAGACAACGGTCCCTCACAGAGTTCTATCAATGGCCCTGATGGCAGGGCCTCATCCTCCTTTATCACTTCCTGAGGCAACACTGTGCATCTGGCCATGATCAGATAAGTTTGCAGCCTCCACAGCCACCTCGTGCTCCCTTTTTTTTTT